AATCTGCAACTATTATGCAGTGAAATACGGTATATGCTGACTGAAGTTAAATTTTTTTCCTGACCCGGGTGCTTACCTTTGTTTGTCTGGTCCATTATGTCCCTGATACCTAGGGCAAGCAGGCTGTATCTTCACTCTCTGGCACTGGAGACCACTTCAGTGTACCCATTATACTCCCATCCTGGATAAACAAGTGCAAGCATTTGATGTTCCCTGTGTACCGTTAACACTAATTGTAATGTTTAGAGTGGAGCTGTAAACATATTCTGCACCTTTTCCATGTTTGCACTGCTTTTCAGACCAAAATCATCAATGGAATGTGTCTGCTGATTCCATTGGTTTTCTATGTTGACTTTCCCCTTTTAGTTATTTAGATCACTTTTCAGTACACATTGTTTTGTTTTGTGTTTTTGTCTTTTGTTTTGTTTTTAACGGATATAGCACCAGTTTCAAAGCACATTTTAAATGCATACAGTTCTCACTGATGTCAGCCATTTCTAGTAGCCCCAGTGTGACTGGCAGCAACCTGGTCTCTTTGATCCAGCTCTTACACATGTCTAGTGTCTCAGCACCACATATAACAAGGAGCTAGATAATTTTAATTAGAGGAACCTGATATATTTGCCTAGGTGACTGCATTTAAATCAATCCATGTGCATTTAAGGTAAATTTAGCAACATACATGCTGCAGAACTGGCCTATAGTAGGAGTGGGGGCATTAAAGGGAATATAAAGCCATTAAATCGAATAGGTGGAGAATTTCTTCGGTATGGAAATTCTTTTTTTCATCTGAAGTGTAGACAAAATCAGTGGTAAGGCGTATAATTAGGCCAACATAAATTATATTCAAAAATGTAGACCAAACCATTAATTTCCTGTGAAAATAAACTAAATAATTGTATATTGTGTTGCAGCAATTTTGTGAGTACCCTTTAAGAATAATCTATATTTTTTGTGATTCGTTCTTTGCTCTACAAGACCCCTGTCCTTGCTTTCTTCTTTAGCTATTACAGCCGTGCATGAAAGTGAATACATTCATTGACAATGGAGGAAAAAAAATGAAGCATTCTCTTCTCCTACGGTCTCTTCCTCCTTTTATTTAATCTCCTGCTGTATTTCAGAAATTATTATATTTTGTTTGTTTAAACAGATTTTTTTCTGCCACTGAGGAACAGAATTATTTGTCAAGCTTATATATGAATTGTACAGTGGCATAAGTACATGCAATAGGATAGTGATCTGGAGAGCAGCACGGAAATTAAAATTCTTGTCTATACATATTTATTTTTTTGCGGGGATAGAAAGCAATGAAATACGTGATTAGGATGGTAAAGACAAAGTGAAGGCATCCTGTAACGTACATTTTGATTTCTGTCTCCCCATATACTTGATCCTTTTGTTGTATGGGTTTTGCTGATGTGATGAACAGAAAGGTGCGCTTTGCTTTTCGACGTCGAAATTCAGCTTCCAGCACAATGTGCCCAGCTAGAGATTTCCTGCTGGCGTTTGTTTCTCTGCGCAGTGAATGATTAATGCACAGTTGATGCAGCTTCATTGCATGGGGTTTTTCTCTGAAGTCCTTCTAACCTCCTCTGAAAATTAGACGGTTGCAGATTGAGCCAAAGTGGCCCAGAGCTTGATTCTTTCAGCCAGGCTGTGTGGAGGAACGTATTGGATTTGAGCAGACTGCTATGTGTGTGTTTTACAGTTGAATGCATATTGTCCAATGTAAGAAAAACTCAGTTGTGTTTTTATTTTATTTATTTTTTAAAAATTATATAAATTTGATAGCTATGTGAAGATTAATGAGATATATCTGTGCCATTTGTAGAGCGGGGGAAATATATGTATGTGCGCCAAGTCAAAACTTGAACAACTCTGACTTTGTGGTTAAACTCGGATAAAACGATTTCTGACACAGTAAAAATATTGTGCCTACACACATGCCAAAGCATATCTCTAACATGTATCAATTATTGCACAAAATCTCCCAGAATCCTCCCTCCACCAGTTATACTGTTTATATGTAGGATTTCTGTGCTAGCAGCTGGGGACCTGCATTTCTGTAGCCTGGTCTAGATCAAAGCATGTTTTGTTTGCTTTCCTGCAGGACATTGGGTTGTTAGTGGCTATCTTGTGGTGCAAGTGGCATTGGTACTTGCAGTGCACATTTTGATTTATAATACAATGCTAAACTATTAATGGGACAATGTCACTAGATTTCCTTAGGTTACATTGTCCTTTTTTTTACATCATTATTTTGGAGAAAGACTGCTCGTGTTTCTATTTCACAGTTTGGCAAGCAATCATGGATTACTTTTTTTTTTGTTACTGCTTTTTTAGATACTCTGATTCCTTCCAGCTAGATTGTGTATTCTGACATTTAATAGAGATATATTATTTAAGAGAATAGTGTATTAAGATTGGGCCAGTGTACGGCTCAGCTACCCCCCTGGTCGATGTCACAACACTGGAGCGGAACCAAAGCTGTGGATTTGCTGCAAAAGTGGGGCTATCAGAATCGTAATCAATATGCAAGGGAAAAAAAAAACTTAAATCCATTATTTTTTTTTTAATATATATTCTCTTCCTACCTCCATCATTTAATCTTCACCCCTGCTCAATTGATTGTTTTGAAAACCCTGCCTAGTTGTGTTGTTCTATTCTGTTATTTTCCAATCTGATAAACTGGAATCCTTATCCCCAACTTTGCTACTGTTTTATGTCTGTACTCCTCAGTACAGAACATAGCAGACAGTTTAACAAGCTGTAAAAGACAGGTGTTAGACAGCCCCGCTGGTCTGGGAATACGAAGTGAAGTTACAGAGGAGGATACTCTAAGAAATCTATAAGCCCACTTTCCCTGTGTCTGATTTGTAACAATATACCTGTGTGACAAATCCGTTTTAATTTGCAGGGGAATTAATTTGGAATTTTCACCTATAGAGCTGTTCGTTTTTGTGCCCATGTATGCTATGCTGTAATATATGTATTTTAAATATCAAATGTCCACTTCCATTAGAGCTTTGGTTAATAATTCTACTGTAAGCCAATGGCTTTTTTGGATTGCTTCTTAATTTTCTGCATTTAAAGCTTTTGTTTCATTTGTCTCAATATTGCCTCTGGGTAAATGGAAGACAGGCCAATCTAAGCTGCAATTTCCCTTTAATTATAAGAATGTTTGGCTGTCCAGCTAGCTCCCTAGAAATAGCTAAATGTTGTGGCATCTGCTTCGAGAGATACATAAACAATGAACTGACAATCTGAAAACTCAATGACAGATGCAGTCTCATAAGGCCTGGATTTCCCATAGATGTTTCTCTGTGTTTATATTTTAACAATGTTATGAATTCATTCTAACAGCTCCTTGTCATGGTTGACAAAGTCAGAATATGCAGCTTCAAAATAAATCAATAGGTATTCTTTGATTTATATCATCCCGGCTTCCTAAAATTTTAGATTTGGTTAATAGTTCATTTTTTTTGTTTGTTATGAAAATAACATCACACGGCTTTAAATAAGGAAAAGCTAATCGATTTCCAAATGAGTGCAGAATGCTACTTTTAAAGGGGCAGTGAAGCTTTCAAATATTACCCCAGAAGTGATCAATGACACTTGTCAGGATTTGCTTTAGTGCCCACCAATCTTGGCATCAGAGCAGCATTTCAGTGGAAAATCTGTTCTTGCTCTATGCTCTTTTTCCTCTGATATCACTGGCTACGTAAACTTGAACCATAATAAAATCCAACTCATACTCCTGTGAGCATCCATTCATGCATTACAGGAACACAGGGGCCTTCTCAGGATGTATATATATTTTTTAATCTGGTTAACTACGTTGGTGTGCAATTTAATTGGGACAAGCTCATATTGTCATTACATTTTAAAGGGACACTATAGTCACCAGAACAACTACAGCTTATTGAATTTGTTCTGGTGAGTAGAATCATTACCTTCAGGCTTTTTGCTGTAAACAATGTCTTTTCAGAGAAAATGCAGTGTTTACATTACAGCCTAGTGATAACTTCACTGGCCACTCATTAGATGGCTGTTAGAGATCCTTCCTGGGTCATGGCTGCCTAAAATGCATCCAAATAATTCAGTGTCTCCTCCTTCTGCATGCAGACTCTGAACTTTCCTCATAGAGATTTATTGATTCAATTCATCTCTATGAGGAGATGCTGATTGGCCAGGGCTGTGTTTGAATCATGCTGGCTCTGCCCCTGATCTGCCTCTTTGTCAGTCTCAGCCAATCCTATGGGGAAGCACTGTGACTGGATCAGGCTACCACTTCTGATGATGTCAGCAGACTGCATGTTTTTTTTTTTTAGGCAAACAGCATGCAGATCTACAGCTTCTAGCTTGAGTAAAGGAAGATTTTGCTATATTAATGGAGGCATCAGGGGCCCAGGGGGGCTAGATGGTGGTTTTAACACTATAGGGTCAGGAATACAGGTTTGTGTTCCTTTAAGTTTATTGACTGCTGATGTATTAACCAGGTTTTATCTGCCTTGACTTGTTTTAAACTAGTTTGATCTTGGTTTAGGCAAAGGATATTCATTTCAATTGAGGATGGACATATGTAACAAGTGCTTTCTGTGGTACATACGTTTTGTTCTTGTGTATATGAAAATGGATATTACTTAAGGAAGCAGACAAAATGATTGCTCTCAAAGGTCACACATCTATGACTAAGAGATATTGCTTCTGCCATCATTGTGAAACAATCTAGTCTTCCAAGAATTTTTAGGGCACATCATTCTCTATCATTGTCTCCAGAATAAAAAGAACAATGTGAATAAACCAAAAAATCTTTTTGAGAGATTTCTTGACTGCTGGGGTTGACATTGATGCTTCAGCTTGGACCCTTGATGACTGGAAAAGGGTAGTTTTCAGCGATGAACTTAGTTTTTCAAGGTTATACATCACATATTGTCAGATGAAACAATTAAAAAAAAATTAAAAAAAAATAAAATAAAAAATATATATATATACATCTGTTTTGGTGAGTGCTTTACAGTCGGTTGGGGATACTCTCTCTCTCTCTATATCTATATATATATATATATATATATATATATATATATATAGATATAGAGAGAGAGAGAGTATCCCCAACCGACTGTAAAGCACTCACCAAAACAGATGTTTTTTTGGGGGGTTTTTTCACAGCAGGTGGTACTCAAAAAGTTAATGTTGGAAAACACAATAAACGTGCTTGATTGGCCTTGTAATTATCCAGGCTTAAAGCCAATAGAAATTTTGTGGAGAGTTCTAAAGAAATGTCTTGGTAAAATGGGTTATTCAACAGAAGAACACTTGCTAAAACAATTTTAAACTATTATTAGAGTCTACTATGTCAAAACATGTTCAGATTATCATTTCAGCTACACATTTGTTACCGATATTGGTTGATATAAGTGTACATAAAAATAATAGAAATAAAATATCTGAAAATTTTAAATGTTTCCATTTTGTAACTATTAATTTGCCCACTACTGTATTTTACTTACAAAGATGTCCATTCATGCTACTGGCCTATACAGTCATGGAAAAAAAAAAAAAAGTACACTGTTTTAGAATTCTTTGGTTTTACATATCATGACATAATAAAATAATCTGCATTCTAGCAGATCTTAAAACTAGCTAAATACAACATCAGATAAACAATACATGACATAATTATACCGTGTCATGATTTATTTAACAAAAATAAAGCCAAAATGGAAAGTCCACCCTCACTGCCTCCATAGGAATTAAGAGGCTAAGTAGCAGACACATGCGGCTATCAAATGCACTTAATTAATTGTTTATCAGCCAGTGTGACCACCTTATAAAAGAAGTTTGCTGGTCTGGAGCATTCAGGTGTGTGTTAACACAATGCAAGGAGGAAAGACATCGGCAATGATCTTAGAGAAGTAATTGTTGCTAGTAAAAGAAAGAGGGAGTATACAATGGCGCTGAATACAATGTATACAAATCTAAAAAGTGCTTTGACCAAATTTATTAAGAATAACAGCTGCTATAACTCCAAGTGTAATCTCTCCAAATACACCCAACAGATCTACAAATAACCAAGAAAAGGCATAGCGCTGCATATAAGTACAAACAAAGGTTGAAGGATACCTGACAAAGTACAGTACAGTGGTGATGGTAGATATCTGAAAACATACCTAAAATATAAAATAAGCATATCCGTACAAAACCTCATACCAACTGTCAACCACAGAGGTGGAGGAGGGGTGATGGTTTAGGCTTGTTTTGCAGCCATAGGACCTAGGAACCTTGCAGTAATTGAGTTGATCATGACCTCTTCTGTGTACCAAAGTATTTTAGAGTCAAATGTGAGACTAAAGCTTGGACAAAATTGGGTCATGCAACAGGACAATGATCCCAAGCCCACCTGCAAATCTACAACAGAAAGGCTAAAAAAAAGGAATCCAGGTGTTGCAATGGTTCAGTTAAAATCTAGATCTCGAGCTCCATGGCGGGGCCTTAAGAGAGCTGGGCATAAACAAATGCCAGCAAACCTCTATGAACTGAAGCAACGTTGTAAAGAAGAGTGGACCAAAATTCCTCAACAACGATATGAGAGACTGATACAGTGATATAGAATTCAATTACTTCATGTTATTGCTGCTAACGGTGGTTCTAGAGAGAAATACATGAATGTTCCTTGTGAAATATAAAAATAATATTTGAGAGATATACCAATTAGATAAATTTTATTAAGTGTTTTAGAGCAAGCATGTCCAACCCGGCGAGCTGCGAGTACATGCCCTGTTGTTAAAGCAGAGTAGGCATCTGCTTTCCCCACATTGCAGGTGCCTACTCTGCTAAAGCTTACCGGGCCGGGGAGGAGGGCCAGCAAGGGAGCTCAGCGTTCGTGCTCCTCACTGCTCCATCGTGCCGTCTGTAGTAAAGCCGGGCGCCAGAATATGACGTCATATTCCGGTGCCAGGCTTCACTAAACTATGCAAGGGAGCAGTGAGGAGCAGATACCCCACATCGGCACCAAAAAGTAGGGAGCAATAAAGAAAAGTATGTGTGTGTCTGTTAGTGTGTTTGTCACACTCCACCTTCACAGGGTTTCAAGAAGTAGCGGGAGGATCCGATTTGGCACAGGGTGCGGACGGCGCCATTTGGGGTATACCAGAGGCCGGACTCCGGAGTCACATACTGGCAGCGGCAATGTGAGTGGAGTCTGCTTGTTGGCTAGAGAGGGGTGCTGGGATTTAGTATATGGGGGGAGGGGACTGGGATTTAGTATATTGGGGGTGCTGTGGTTTAGTAGAGGGGGGATGCTGTTTTTTTTTTTTTTAATACTTTAACTTTCAAAATGAACCTACGTTTAAAAAATGATTATTTTTTTTAAGCGGCCCACATAAACTTAAACCTTGTTTATGTGGCCCGTGCTAGACTTTGAGTTTGACATGCTTGATTTAAAGAAAAAGACATATAACATAGACCCATTTAAAAAAGAGCCATACTCAAGTAAAGGCTTTATAATAACAAACCGGGACAGACTCAGAAGTGGACTTGATAGGACGTGGACAGAGGGTGATGGCAATAGGAGTTGCATGCCCTAACAGGGTTTGTGTATCAACTGCACGAAAGCTCTTGTGGTTATAAAAGGCAATACAAAAGCCTTATAAATCAATGCCACTATTAAAGATAAACTGTGTTTTAATACACTTTATTCAATGTAGCTGTATAGCAACCTGAGTTAATAGTAACAAGGTATATATATCTCAACTTCAGACCTCTTGTGGATAAAATTAAAGGCATTATAAAGCCCTATAGAAAAACACCACTATTATGGGTAATCTGAGTTGAATAAATTATAACCAATTAACCATATAACAACCCCAGACTGCTACCTGAGAAACTGCCACTCTAGTATAACTATGTATATCCTTTACAGTGAGTCCCATGTGGCAATGAAGAGAGGCAATAAAAAAACATTCTAAAACAAAACCACTATTGAGGGTAAATTGTATTGATCAATTGTTAACAGAGCGACAGGCAATGAAAATTGCTACAAAGAAAAGTTACACCGGATGGGTTGTAAATGGCATCCTAAAAAGGAAAAAGTATATACACAGACTACAATGAATTATAACGAGAAAAAGGGGGCTGTTGCTGCCAATCACTCCACCTGGGTAAAGATGCTAATACTCCCTTCAAATCCCCCAGTACGGCAATAGAATATCCTACAATTGCGTCCACTAATTTACTAGAGCTAGTAATCCTCTATAATTGCTAACTAACTAGATACCCATCGTGCAACAAAACAAAAAGTGCTGTGATAAGTAAAAACTAAACTGACGCACGTTTTGGCGCTACTAAAGCGCCTTTGTGCAAGGCAAAAAAGGTGGTTCAAAAAGCTATTGAATCATAAGGTATACTTAGTTTATCACACCAGGCATCTAGATTTTGGCTTTAGTTTGGTTCAATTATGATGCAGTATAATGTTATGTGTTGTTCTTCTGAAGTAGTATTTATCTTATTTTAAGACCTGCTATGATACATATGATGTGATCATGTCCTAATATGTAGAACTATAGAATTCAAATAGGGTGTACATTTTTTCTGTTTTCCCCATGACTGTAGGTCATTTTTCAAATCATTGGAGCTGTAAGTCTACGTCTTCTCTTGCATATATGACATTTCAAAGCTATGCTCCCCTTTCTTTATATCCGTATAGAGCCCATCTGCTCATCTTCTGCTAGGGCCCTACTTAGAGATTGATGAAGTAGCTAGTGTCTAAATTCTGTCTGTATATGATTTTTAGAAAAGGCTAAATTTGTAGCATACAGATTCCATATAGGTTTGGTTACTTCTGAAACTGGAGCTTGCTGTTTAGGGGTGTCTTTCATGATTCCATAAACTATTTGACCTAAAATGTGATGTAACATGATAAAAGCTACATTAATAGAGGAGAATAATGCAGGAATACAGATAATTCTGAAGAGTTCCTAAGTGTTTTCTCAGCACTGTTTGTTTGTTAGTTTGTGATGTACAAGAAAAGAGCCCACTCGTTTCTCGGCAAAGCCAATTATTTATAAAAGTGGATACACAATATTGATATTTCTGTTCAAGACTCTGATCTTTTATCAAGCTTATATTGTGAATAGCAAGACCCATGATTGGCCATTTCTTTTTCTTTTCTTTTTTTTTTTTTTAAAGGTGTGTATGTGTATACAAAGAATCAGCACTGAGGGGATTAATTAACTCACAATCCCAAATGCATCTGCAAGAATACTATTAGGGTGATTCCCAATTAGCAGTTTGTTAGCCATAACATCTGACAGCACTTTGATATGTAAGTTTTAAAGCAAGATAAGGAACTATACATTCAGAGAGGCCTAATAGTTGGTGCCTGCATTGAGTATATCTCTGTGACATAAACCCCAAAATAATTGAATGTGTCAAATAGAGGACCAGGAAAAAGATTTAGGGCTTTGTGTATCTGGAGTCGAAAAATGTAATAGACTAATGAGAGAATTTGAATTTATAATTCCATTGTTATCGCAGTTGTAAGCTACATGTTCAGACATCTTAAAAGGATAGTATAGTCCCCAAAACAACTTTAGTTTAATGAAGCAGTTTAGGAGTTAAATCACTTTTGTTTCAGTCCTTGCAAACCTAGCCACCTACCCTGGATGTGACTTACACAGCCTGCATGAAATAAAAAGGTTTCACTTTTAATCAGATGTAACTTACATTAAAAGTTTATATGTCCTGCTCTGTAAATTGAACTTTAAGTACAGGGTCTAGCAGGGTCCCCTGTAGGGTCTAGCAAGCTTTTAATAGCACATGACATAAGACATTCTA